GAAGGAGAAAAAGCAGAAGAAGGAGAAGGAGAAGAAACAGAAGGAGAAGAAAAAAAAGCTGATCAGCAAAATATGTAGTACGTCAAGACACCAACAAGAAGTGGTTTATGCAAGCATCATGAAGTAAATTAAACATCAGTTCAATGAACGTAAACAATCCTGAAATGGAAGTTTTTCCAATTTTTGTTTGGAAACATTATGAAATAATTATATCTGTTTAGATTTTTAGAATTAGATTGCATTGCAAATTTAGTAAGAAAACAAAACTATGATACAAATAGGTCCCAAAATGGTGCACAAATAACGAGTTAAATGAAAATAAAGTAATGGTGATACAACAAAAATTCTCTCTTTTCATTAGGATTAATTACATCATATCAAAATATTGCAACATATCCTACCAACATGTACACTATGACTTAAAAAACTCCTAATCAAACAAAGGAAGAGATGTTAGCTAAAAAACTCATATCATTAATTGAAAATCTAAAAGTTTAAATGAAATCTGCTTCCTGCATATGAATTCATTGTATTGTGCTATATTCTTATAGAATATTTAAAGAGACAAAGGAGAGAAATAATAATAACAAAGAAAACAATATTAATCATCAGTACTCAGTATCTTCCAAAATTCAGATGATGTTCTATGGGGATCTGAGAAATTAACAAAGGACATTACCAACAAAACCAACAGTAGAAAATCATAAGGTCAACAAAGAGTCGTTTCCAACCCAATGCATTCAGGCCAAAAGAAGAGTCAAACAATGTCAATTAAGATTAATAGAATGAATGTTTCAGATAACTCAATAAAAAATTGGTCATTAGAGAATTCGAAATGCCCCGATTCAGATGAGTCTTATAATTTCAATATTAAAATGTTCACTTGTTTACACTAGATGATTCTAATCCTCGCAAATCAATACTTGAAATATCCCGAAGGATTATGAACTGCTCTATGTGAATCACTTTCATGAAACCAAAAACATGTGATACGACAGACTGAACATTTTTGACTTACATGGCTCAGTGCATTACATAAAATAAGAAATAGCTGTTTAAAGATGGCAATAAAACATTGCGAACAAAATAGGATCCTCTCAAAGACCCAGAAATGTCGGGTTCATTGGAATCTTAACGATCTGTTAAAGACATTGTCGTCGTCATCATCATCATCATCATCATGTCTCAGACACCTTACAAGAAGCAAGATCTCCATACCAGTGTCATTGACTACAAGGTCAACAAGGTCCCAAATGATTGGCTACTGTGAATCTTAAAAGAGTATTAACCACATAATCTAAGATATCTGAAAGGTGCAATGAATAACAGGCAAACAATACATATGTCACCTTATAATGAAAAAAGCATCACAGTCATTAAGAATCCATAGAGATATCTTCCAGAGAGATAAGTTGTAATAGGTTTTGTCTTGTCATGAATCATGTCTACTTATTGTTTAAAGATATGAGTAACATATGAATTGAGAGGCCACAGAACATATGACTCATCTAGGATTCACAGACAAAATAAACTTTTACTCAGGAACATTATATCAATATTTGCTCAGCATTCCATCGTCCCCAAAACCCTCATAATATTTCTTGGTTCTTTGTAAATCTTGCTGTAGTCATTCTCCTTGTTCATTGCTAGTATCGCCTAAGTTGTTAAAGAAGATATTCTGATGGGAATGAAAAAGATGGATCATCAACAATATTTGAACACCGATTTGTGGTATTTCTTCAAAAGATTTGTAACAATCAGCAAGTAGGCCTCACTCTTCCTATTACCAAGGAAGTTTCGAACACTACAATGACTCCTATGCTGTTGCACCTGTGACCGATAAACATTTAGAGAAGTTGTCGTCTATCAACAATCTTCTAACATGTGGTCTGTCAAACTCCTTTGATTTTGGTGATGGAAATTTTGGCAAAAAGATTTATCAGATACTGGAAATCTGGTCCATTTCAGTCAAAGGCCTTAAGAAATTTTTTATAATACTAATGTTAATATGTAAAGTACAAAGTAACACACAAGTTAGGTCTACATGAAGTAAAGCAGAGACACTTTGTTGTCCTGGATATACTGGATTTGACAGTGATGAAGCTTCAAGATATTTCACGTTTTGGAAATTATATCAATGTTTGTCAAGCAAAAGTAACTCGTCCTTGTGTTTCAGAGATTCTCTTCACAGCATCCATTAAGAAAATGGAAAATAGATTCTCTTGCCACTTGAGAATTTGTACAGTTTGGCTCGACACCCACTGCAGAACAATTTTGGTACCCTTCAAGATTCTGGCATGTCAACTTCACAAATGCCACATGAATGTCAGACTCTCGAATGTGCACATACATGGAGCTTCATGGAACCATCTGAAGAATATTGAAGAAATCTATTCCCGGTGCTGAATGCAATCCAAAATCCAGGAAAAAGAAGCAGTATGCAATATATGTTAAAAAAAGTGTTAAAAATATGTTAAAAAAGAAAGAAAAAGTGATATATGTTGCCAGTCAATGTGTACGAATGTCAGGCATTTGTAGAGTGGCTATGAGTCTATTTTTGCATTAATGTTTATATATTTATAGTTAAACATATGTATCAGAGAATACTGATAATACAAAATAAACAGTTTTAAAAATTTACAATTAAAAATGTGGTTTTATTTACGATTGTCAATACTGGCACAGAAAAGTTGAATATTACTCAGTTAAGTAAAAAATTATTAAATATGGTATATATGGAAGCAATATTTTATCTAGATGATTTTCAAAATCTTATTAAAATACGATTAAACAGAAATTGAAATACATTTTATATATATTAAAATTTATTATAAATGTTCATAATGAAAAGAGAAAAAAGCTTGGGGTCAAAATGACACCACGACGGTGATCGCAGTGATTAAGTAACAAAAACACACCATGTCAGTAGAAGGTTAATTAAAATTGAATCTACACCATTATTATTCAAGCAAAAGTTTCAGAAAAATGTTGGAATCAATTTTGACAAACAAATTTTGTTTTATGAATCTGATATTCACATGTCTCATTCTTCTCAACTGTATTTATGAACTACACCGTATTTGTAAATTGGACAAAAGCTCCTGAGATTATAAATAAATAATTTTTAAAAAAGTCATACAGATATGCAAAATTCAGAACTTCAACATCACCCACATTGATTGGAAAACACGCATTTTGGTTAAAATCTTGTGTTCAGTTTACATTCATGTTGTTGAAAGAGCAATTTTACAAAAAAATACTTTTAAACAATGAAACATTTTGACTACACCAAGAATATGATGTAATTTGTCACATAAAAGAACAAAAACATCTACTTTCTCAGTTTCAGAGATTGAAAATACATTATTTTCTGTTGAAAAGCTGGCACACTTTCCTACAGCATGAAATATCTATCTCTTACGTAAAACTCTGCTTTTACGTTCCCACAATTTACTTTTTCCCACTTTTTACAACATTTCTTGTCAATCCCATCCGTTTTCATATGTGTGGGTCGGAGGAATAGGACACTATGTCACATTTACTAAATTTTACAGGAGAGCTGTTTGAAGGTTTGCATACCTGTAAGTGAAAGAGAACTTGGTGTTATTTTATAGCACCGTAACTCCAACATTATTAGATGTAGGCCATAGTGTAGTATACCTCTGGATAGAAGACAAAAAGATCATAATATTGTACCAAAAATCTCATTTTGGCCAAAAATGGACATAGTGTCCTATACCTCCGACCCACAGATATATTCATGTTATAAATACCCTGCATTTACAATAGTATAATTTCAATTTTGCCGCCAATATAATGCCACTTATATGCCAATATATGCCAATAATAATCTGCTTGCCACAACACGACTGGTTTTCTGATTTCAG